ATGCCTGCGACCTCAGCGCGAGCCTGTGTGGGACGGGTCAGGAACATCGCTCAGGGAAAACATCAACGTTGTCAGTGAAACTCAACCGTTGTGTACTACGAAGTTAAACTTCAACGTTGACTCCTAGGGGTATATATACTTTTATACTTTTATACTTTATGCTTTTATACTTTATAGTCTCTCTGGTCGTCGACCCAGCAGATCTGAGGTCTTCATGAGGTTTCATGTCCCACCCGCCCATCGACCCCATGGTGCTTCGCAAAAGTCTCCCCATGGTCTTCGCAGGTTCCGTGGGGTTCCGGTCTGTGGACTTCATGTGATTCATGGGGTGAAAGCCTTAATTGAGATGCACCCATCGCAACGAGCGATGGCGTGGCACCCCATGGCACCCCAAACACCAGAACGCCGCCACTCCAACACCTCGACGAGGCGAAGTGACTTCAGTCCTAACTCATAACAGCATAAAAAGGACGGTTCACCCCAACCAAACAAATGCCACACCAACATATCTCCCACCTGAAATCATTATATAAATCTTTCCTGATCTATCCAAAGAAACCTGGAAGTGCGAAGTCTGCAAAACATCCCCTCCCTATCTCAGCCAAGTGTCCACCTTCCCTGTCTCGATTTCAATTCCTCACATTGAAGCCCAAGTGACCAAGTGATCAACTGGTGTACCACCAAACTGCTTACACACCGCCAAACTGCCGTGGCACTCCCTTGCTGAAATGCTGAAGCAAACCAGTCTAGTATCTCCATTCATGGGCTGAAAATGCACAGGAGAATGCCAGGATTCAGTTTTGGCCGATCACTTGTACGTAGACTGTTCCTGGCCCATTTAAGCCAAAGCATCTTGATCGAGGTAACGGGTAGCAATATACTGTAATATAATCCAGCACCTAATCCTACGGTAAATCCTCTCTTATGGCTATTGCATATATTTGGATACGATATGATTGAAAAATCTGAGATGGTGTGCCCATGGAGTTTGGCCGCTCTTGCAGATTCATTCATCACTTGGGCTACCTGGGCCCATGATGGCCCATGTATGTCCGATTGGCTTCACAGATTGAGGAGGCGAAGCCATGGATCTTGAGACAATGACTGTTTCCTCTTGGCAGTACGTTTGTTGAGCTATGTCTCAGTTCCCCTGCACAAAAAAGCAGTGCAACCGATCCTATTGAGGCCCGAGAAACTATCAAATTCTTCCACTAACGTCTGCCGCTTGGTGATCCTTTTGGCCCCACTTTTTGGACCAAGTGCCCTTTCACTTCAAAAGGAAAGGACCCGGAAAAGGCCCGGACCATCAGCAAGTGCAGTGCAACTGCTTCGGGAATCGTGTTGTTTTCCTTTCTTTTGGCACAACGAAGCCAAATAATCCAAAATCCACCATCCCCATCCCTTGGTCCACGCCCTGCGCCCCGCCCTGGAACCCACGCGCTTCGGCCGGTTCCAGAAGCACCGTCAGGCCGCCGTGGTGCGAGAAGGGGAGACCTCCAACGAGCCCCAAACACCCCATGTGTGGCATATTTACCTACAGTTGACCCCCAAAACCACCCCAACTGATCGGCATATACGGCAGTCCCATGGAGTGTCTGGGATAGACCCCAAAAAAACAACTCATTGGTCGGTCTCCCTCTAAAGGTGCACACGAGAGAGACTCAAGTGTGACCTGAAGTCAAGGAGCTCAGGACCTGCTTGGCTTTGCCCGGCACGCCATAGATGTACTTCCCACAGAGCGATTGCACTCCTCGTGACCCCTATCGGTCTGGTCTGGTTGAAGACTGGGCAAGTCTGGGCAACGAAAAAAAGTGAACCTGGCAAATATAGAATCAAAGAATCAAAGTCACATAAAATGACCAAAGCAATCCAAAGCACATGACTCCTGAGTCGGAAGTAGCGCTGTTGACAGAAACTGGATCCCGTGTTCTTGCAACAATCCGCTGTCTATCTTCATTCAACTCATTTCAACTATCAAAACTAACACTGTCATGCCCACCCAGCCCGTAAACCAGGCGAACGCGCGGTTTCCCCGCGGGTGATAGATCCTCCCAGCCATTTGTCTTGACCCATCAGCGGCTCGGAGGCTAAGACCTCACATCCTAGGATGAAAGCTGGAGTGTGAAGGTGCCCAGAGCTGGAGAGCTGGTTGGTGCTGGATGGTTCTGGATGGTTTGTGTGGATGGTCTGTTTGGTTGGAACATGTTGGAACAAACATGTGCACTAAGGGGTTTTGGTCTTCTGCTTTTGGTTCTTATGGCTCACCTGGCAGGCAACACAATATCTTTCAGACTTGCTTTAAGCCCTGAGATTAGCAAACTCTGCAATCCACACTCTTGGTGCTGGCAAAAATGCATGAACTAACCTGATCTCTGCAAGCGGTAGGTGCAGTCCACAGGAGACAAGTAGAAAGGCAAGAATCAAGTGACTAGGATATACTAGTACGGGTATACTTGAACAATGGCTCGAGCTTGTTATGTCTTTCCAATATCTTCTCGTGTGCTCTTCTTATTCTTGTTCTTCCTCTTCTTCTTCTGCATCGTCTATTCACCTGGTATCAATTTGCTTTTCCGTGCGTTCGAAATCGTTGAATCGTGCTGTACATCTCTCTTGAGCAGGCAGAGTGTAGAACTTTGTTGTCACCCACCAAACAACAGCTTCGCTGATGCCAGGGGTAGTTGGAGCGAGAACCTTGCTTCCTGCATGCAAACATGCCCTGTGCTCACCTCATAAAACCGGCAACAAAGCCGACCAAACACTCCTTGGTTGGGTGGCTCCCACTTTTCCATGAACACGGCACGAAGGAAACCATCGGTTTCATCCGGAGGAAGCAAGGTAAGGACAGTCGCACTGGGAGTTTCAGCAATACTACGCGCAACGGTCGTCGATTTCGTGGGTGCCTGAAGGCCAAAATGTCAGCAAATGCCGGGCCTCCCTGCCATGGAAAAAAGCCGGCCTAATGCCAGGCACGAAGATCGCGCATGGATGATCCTTCCGGGGCTGAACTCTACACACCACGGGGGCACACACGAGGTGCGCCTTACTCAGAGCCTGAGATGGGAACAGCTGATGAAAGAGATATGGAGGATGTTCTGACAATGTTACCATGCAAGCATGTGTGTTTTGATGTGTTTGAGTTTGAGTTCTCTCTTCGGTCATCGCTGATGTCAAATAATTTAATGTTACAGTGTTAGTGTTTGTCGCCTTTTTTAAAGGGAGCCAAGTGGGATACATGGCCATGGTGCTGCGGAACGATCCACCTACTGAAGTTGAGGCCATGTCCACACACAGACCATCCATGTATGGAATAAGATGGAATAAATGCATGCATGCATTTAGCATTTTATCGATTTTATCACCCTAATGCAAGCAACTGGACGTCCATACCTGGATGGTCTATAGGACATGAAGACAGCAACTGGGGGAACTTGGCACGCTGGCGCAAAGTGAAGCCTCCCCACAGGTTCCTCACAATGGATCCACAGGAAAGGCTCTGTAATTGAAATCGCTACATTTACACTACTTCCAACAACATAAAGCATCATCAAAAAAACAATCAACTTGTGTTTTTTCCCTCGGGCGGTCGAAGACCAGCGGGCTTTTCTCCATGGGCCATCTTTCAGCAATCCGATGACATCTCTTTCGACCGATCTGGCCACAACCATCCATGGATGGCCGTTATATACCTGGATCTTCCCAGTGACCGAACTTGATTCCCTGGTTGGTTCGGTCACTTAGGTGGTTGAGGTCCTGGTATATATATACATTTACCGTTTACCCCATTCATGGCCCGAATGTATACAACTATTCCATGCGATGGTCAGGGTTGGACATTCCAAACCAACTGCCGTGGCTTTCAGCTTTCGCTGTTTCCTGATAACCACCACGAACACCGGTTGACCGGTTGGGACCCCTCGCCTCCGAGGAAGAGGCCGACGGTGACGCTGTGGAAGATGGCGATGCCCAGGTCTTAGGCGATGAAGCATGAGCATGACCGAGCATCCCACGTGTGCGGTCTTCACCGGCTAAACGGATAGGAACCATGTTTGAGAACCACCCTCAAGAACCTGAACAGTATGCCATTGGTGAGTTCTATTCAAGGGCGAAATGGGCTTGCTTCATGGGAGCCAAAGAGAGGTCTTTGAGATGTCTTGAGATCTTCACCAAATATATGAAGGCTGTTGAACATGAGCACTGAGGATCTTAAAATGGGCAATTGTAGGGGACCAAAATAAGGTCTTCTCCTTCTCAAGCATCCTGTGCTTTGGGCTGCCCCCAACGAACAAACGGGGTCACAACCGGCCACCACCCCGCCAGAAAAGATCATCCTTTTAGGCCGCTCTTCTTTGGAATCGATGGCCGGGAAGTTCTGTTCAGGCCCAGTGTGCGGAAACGGTCTCGGTTTCCTGGTAGGGGGTCCAAAGGCGTGCAGCAGTGCAGCCAGGCATCTGCTCATGACCACAGGGTTCCTCGGAGAACTGCAACCGGGACGATGTGGGTCAACACCTACTTCCAGGTCCCAGATTGTTCAATGCCTGTTCGAGGTCGAGAGAAGAAGAGAGAAGAAGGCCTCAATGCTGGCTAGGACCACTAAGGCAGGAAAAATGGTCACTCACAATGGGCAGTTTTACGAATTCCGGAACAAGTCTGACATACAAGGGAACCCCATTGTACAAAAAAGAGACTTTGGAGAGGTCGATGTTACATTCCTTGGGATAAAAAAGGGCTGCGGCTGAGCTCAGAAAAGAGCATCGGTCACGTTTAGGTTGCACACACGTCTTTTGTTAACGTAACTGCTTGGGTTTCCCCTTGCACTTCTCTGTGACCAAATCAACGCTTCTTCCCTCACCTCGGGTTCAAAAAAGACTCTGTGCGTTTCGCGGAACGGCGCGGAACATGCCCAGGTGGCAATGGCAGGCCAGGTGGAACTCCACCTTTCGTGGTGACCTCGTTGTTGGTCGGTCGCACAACCCACGCGTTCGGCAAACTGGTGACCGTTGACCCAGGGAAGAGCCCGATCACCGGAAGAGTGTGCAAACACAAACACTTCTCCCACAGCATAGCGTGCAATGCATCTGCCATTGCGATATTGCGATCTCAAGGGACAAGTTGTTTCATCTCTTTCACAAACCGTGCCAAGTGCTGCTTCTGCCTTTCGCTTCTGGATGATGGTACTGCAAGAGCACATTTGTTTAGTTGCACTGTGCGCCCACCAGCGAGTGAAGCACAAAATCCTCGAACTTGCTCACTGAGTAGCCAATGTCAAGAACTTGTAGATGATCCTTGGATTTGGTTTTGACACGGGAGAGATAAAAACGCATGTAGAAACCGACCAAAGAAGTAAAGGAACAAAACAAAGCACTTAAGCTGCAATTGCTGCTAGGTTCTGCACCACGAACAAGCCGACGGCCATAAATTGTGCGCCGGTACCTGCTGTTGGATCGGGGGAAGCGCAAAGCAGGCCACAGGGAAGCTGTATGAATTCCCTGTATGAATCATTGAAAACCAGCTACTTGCAAGACTGTAACACAAACATAATGCCAGAAATGGAAGGACATACATACATACATACATACATATACATAAATTATATATATATATATGTGATATGATATGTATAATACTTACACAGTGCAGTAACACTACAATACCTTAAAATACCTTTAAATTTTGTGTTCACAACAAACTGCCGTGGCGAATTGTAAATCCTCCTGCATCCCACTGGAGGATCCACACATTGGCAAACACAATGTATGATTTGATGTTTGATGCACTACTGATTTCGCTTCAACAAGCATTGCGCTGATTCCAGGTCGGGCCATCTCGTTCTTCTTCAACCGGCAGACTTTCTCTCAGGCAAGGCACCGACTTTCGCCATGAAGATGCAGGGGAAAAGGCCAGAGGACACTAAGAGGATGGCCCTCAGTTGGGAGAAACATGGAAAAACCCGGCCCCATTAGTCCCTCAAAACTTGGAAAGTCGGCCACTTATGGAAGGTGTGGAACTCGCGGCCTCATGAAGATGTGGAGTATCCGAAGAGTCGCAGTCACTCTCGCACTGAATCCCACTGATCGACATCGTTCTCGGCGGCCGGAACGAGTTCCACCCGCCAGTGGATGATCTATTTTCGACGTCCTCGTAAACCCGATCTTCCCCGATGGCCCCATGTCCATAGATCTATGGCTATAGTGGCTAGCAAGCGCTTGTCGCCACACAAACAAGAAACACACCAAACAACAAAAACATGGAGCGGACATGCCGCCGTTCCCATCTATACAGCCGCCCCTGACACACGAAACCACTCCAACTGGTGTATAACAGGTGGGGCACACGAGTGATGATTGTGAAGGAAAAACATCAAAAGCTGAGTCTATCCATGTCTATCCCATTACCAGGGCCCTGTGGATGATGAGGCCTGGTTGGAGGCCTTGTTCAATCATAGTGTTCTTGTTTACTGTCTGTTACAAGTAATAGGACAAAGCCAACCCCAAAAGTACTATCCATCGCCATACTCAGTTGATGCAACAGTCAACGTCAGCAAATCAGTGGATCCAATGCTCTATGGACATCTCCCGAAAACTGTGGAAGCAATGGACGGGCAGGATTCTGTCTGAACTGACTTTGGGTGAGATGGGCTGAAATTGTGTCCGAACTGTTCAATAAATACAGTAATAATGGTTCTCCCAATTTCGCAGCCAGGATCCAAACCTTCCAAGCGACGTGTAGATTGCTTTTAAGATTCCCCTCGCCGGGGTTTCAGCACCATAAACGTCTTTCATCCGATCTCCATCACTGTAAAGGCCAAAGCAAACAGGTACCTGGGCGACAAACACACCTGCACTGAAGTGGCTTTAAAAGCCTTGGCCTTGACATATTCTGACCTGAGGCCATCAAGATAACACACACTTCCCTAAATTAAATCCTTGCAGCAGGTGTTGCATGACTCTGATGTTTCCTATGAACAATGAGGTTGGTGTGCCAATCTGATCCACCAGCTATGGACACCTGATCTCAAGGCCTTTGGGCTCCACAAACGCCAGCATCCTCTCTGGCTTACAGCATTGGCAGCCCCGCGTTTGGTACAGCCATACACTGAGAGACTTTATTCACATGCACACCGAATGATGATGGAACAGCCCCCTCTAAACCTGAAGAAAGAAAGGTATGCTACGGTCTGCTTCTGCATGCTTCTGCAAGCATGGGAGGTGCACTTCCTTCCAAGCTGCTAAAACCACAATGTTGATGGCCAAGGAAGCGGCGATGAAGCCCAGAAAAACCATGACCTGCAACAGCCCATCGAATACATCCAGCACAACAGGCCAGTAAGCCCAGCGTGGACAGTAAGCCTAGCTGCATCCCCGGCGAGATTCGCCACAAACAAGTTACAACTTCTGTGCTTCGCCAGGGGCAGACATGATGCGCCGAAAGGGACACACAACTTCTGCGCTTCTGAGAGTGTGGCAACCAGGACGGTTGCAAGGCCCCGGACTTGTTTGATTATGGTCACCATGGTCAAACACCTGTTGGAGGGTCCAGGAACACAACAACTGTATGCAATCCCATCGTGGTGCTTCACCCCTCCGGGGTGGAGAAGGATGACCAGGAACACATGCCACACGGCCCTGGGCTTCGATGGATTTTCTCTTGCAACCTGGGCTGAAGAGAGAAGCCGTCAAAGGTACTCCCTACATCCGCCCTTGGTCGGCGCAGTAAGGAGTTCCCTGAAGACATGCTCCGATCGTTTGGTTACAGGTCCAGCCTGACGCAGGTCCCAATTTGGTGATGAAAACCTAATTGTTGTTTATTATGACCAACTCCAGCAAAATGAGGGCTTTGACCTGTATACGGTTTTGTTCTAATCTGTTCCTTCTTTCCTCTAAAAGGGGGAGGCGCTTCCGCCACTCTTCTTCCTGCGGCGGCAAAAGGTGAGTCGGTTCTCAAGCCATTCTTCCCCACCATCGCTTGTCATTGGATTTGATATTCAATAGGAATCAGCCACAATTAGACTAGACTTTTTTCCCTAAGAGGGACTCATCAGTGATGAATGCTGGAACTTAGGTCATTCTGAAGGCTGCTGCTCACGGCCAAATCGCCAATTGGGCTTGAACATCTGTCCAAATGGGCCAGGGCCATGTCATGCTTGCCACGACGACCAGCACACTTCCACCGGTATCCGGCCGATTTCACCAAGTGACTGGGATGAAACAACAAGCTTCGAGGCAAAGAAGCGGTCCGAACGGTCAAAAGCTTGGTCTTGGACCAGTGGTTTGGACTGGGCGTTCTATAAAGCAAGAATTGTCAAGAAAGAATCCGATGGATGAGGATCACTCACCAGCCAAGCTGCTGAACCGAACCACGACGAGCGGCCAGCGGCCTGGCTCTGTGAGCCAAAAGGTCTGCAGGTCTGGCCATGCTTAGTCAGTGGAGCGCCAAAACCCAGGAGCTGAGTGCCCAACAAAATCCTGTGATCTTCTGGTTAGTTGCACCAGGCTGTTAAATGCTCGACTCTTGCTGGTTGCAGGACCCAGTCATTGCGCAACGGTTGGAATTGTTTGTGATATTTTGTGATGGTCCATTGGTCCCTCAGAAGTTGTCCCCATAAGGACACGGTATTATCGCTGGTTTGAATGAAGTCAACTTGTCAAGGATGTCTAAGAGTGCGCTCTGCATGTTTTTATCATACCTGTCACGCACACATACCATGAAACGTCCGTTTTATCTGTTATATAGACCCCAAATAGATAGAGGTTGGCAAATCCATGCAAATCCCCTCTAAAAATGTATGTGACACCGTGCCACTATCTATTTGGGGACCACTTTAAGCTTCTTATATAAATAGATTCTGCGCCTCGCGAGTTATCTCTTTCAAAGCTGGGAACGAAAAGGTGTTGAGTCCCTTCGACCACTGGTTTGGACACCATGTTTCTGGGACCTCATTTGGGTCTGCATCAGTCTGGATAGCTTGGCTTATGGATGCTTATGGACATCGATAGCATGGCTTACCCCAAACGAATCTCTGCGCTCAGAAGCCGGGAACGCACCCTCCACAGTAGGGATCTGGACACGAATCAAACCTTTTCTGTTGCTTCGGACTCTGGCAAATGCAACATCCTGACTCCGTTCACAGCCCTTGGTCGATCAAGGGCCCTAGGGATTGCTGAGAAAACCGTCCGGACCCCGAATCCCCGAGGATTCGGGGGAGTTCCTGTCCGGACCCCGCCCGAGGAGAGTCGGCGTCTGGGCAATTCCTCTTCTTCCAAGTGTCGGGGGTCTGTCGCACAGCGTGGCTTTCTGGGCGGTGGTGCGAGGTCCTGTCGAGGGCAATTGTCGCAAGGGGGACAACCTGGGAGCACTTGGACAGAAGAATTCCTGCATCACTTGAGGTTTGACGTTATAATTTTTGACTCTAGTCTTTTGGCCAGGTGACAGGAGCTTCTCCATCAGTAGGGTCATGTACGGTCCAGCTTGTGGTGTGGATATGTTTGGATTGTTCAGCTTCCTACTTTGGAGCCATCTGAAGTCATGTACCCAGGCCAGTGACTTCGTGTTCATTTCGCCATCTGCGTGGCTCTACTCCAGGGTTTTATCATTGGTGTGATCCGGTGGTGATTTCCACCCATGGGTGCAACCATTCACACAGTAATTAAATAGAGTATTATTACTGTAACTTTCTGCTCTAGGAGGTGCACAGCCCCCCCAAAAGAAAGCACTTCTGACAACAGAAGCCGCTAAATCTCTGGAGTGAAACCCTGAAGAACACTGCTCCCCCGATCCTGAGCACCATTAACATCCATTAACCATGCCAAATCAGTCAAGGATCCGCTTACCCCGATCGAAAGGTCGCAGCCATCAATGGTCTGGGTGGCGCAGACCCGTGAGGTGAACGTGAGCTCCGCTCCTCAAGTGCCCATCTCCTCAAGCTCTGGACCAGGCCGAACCAGCAATCGCTCATGGCAAGCTGTGCACGGGGTCAGCGTTTAGGGCAGCACTTAGACTTTCTCGCCGTCGTTTTCTCAGGTTCCTGATTTCAAGGTTCCCCCAAAGTTGGAATGCTCTTGTCATTCGCCCCAATGCAATTTCAGTTTTATCCAATTGGATTGCTCTCCGCATTTTCGCTACACATCCAGCAGCCGCTAGAGCAAAGGGGGCACACTCAGAGGGCATGCAGAAGTATGGGCTCACATGTTGACTCATTGAAAAATCATTGGCCATAGGCACATCACCATGTCCCACATGTCGCACATGTGGCACCTCTCAGTTGGGCCAATCTGCAGCTAATAGCTGCTGTCTTCTCTTAAGTTGAGCCATTTCCTGCGGGCGCCAAGTCGACGGTGCCATACCCCGCAGGTCTTCACCCGCGGGTGACGCCGGTGTCGCACGCCCGGGTTCCGTGCGTCCCCACGCATGCCGCAGCGTTTCGCGCGTCGTCCGCAGCGTTTTGCCCGGTGCTTTAGGCTTTTCCCCCCAAGAGTCGATCTTGCTCAGAAGCCTTTTCTTTGGAGTCCACCAATTGACTGGAGCCATGGCGGACGGCCCACCCCTGTCTGGCCGTCTGGTGGATGGATGGAATCATCGCGTACATGTTGCATCCGTGGGTTCCATCTCTTCTTCACCCCCGGTGCATTCGGACTTCGTGCCCGGTGCGGCTGAGCCCCGTTGCGGGGAGCCGGTCTTGAAGGTCAGGAGCTCGCCTGGGAGGCCATGGCCATCCAGACCCCAGCTGCAACGCCATCACCATGCTTCTTGGGTGTGCGTGGACAGGACCCAAATACTAGATTCGTGATGGTTTGTATATATATATATATACTAATATTATATACACACATAAATTATACATATATAATTATACGGGTGTGTGTTTTGTTTGTAAATACAGGCAGAGTTGCACATATTAATATATATATATATAGCTATAGTATAATAGTTATATATACTTGCCATGATAACTCCATTCCATCTCTCGAACACGGAGCTTCCCATCCCTTACAATTAGCTGCCTGCGCCGGAGTCCGTGGAGGGAACATGAGGAACTAACAACTCAGAGACTCATGGGGAGGAAAACGACTAATATACTGCAATAATGTCTTTGAGTCGCAATTGGTTCACCTCGGGAGGTGATAGAAGTTAACGAGATTTCAGGAGTCATTGGAAGTTCTGGGGGTTGGCCAAGTAAGGAGTCCACCATGCTCCCTCAAATAGGCCTCTTCCAAAGGCGCTTTTGACAGTGTCTTGCCATAGGAATAGGCAAAACACTTTGGCGGCAGCATCTGCGAAAGTGGAGGGACACAATCTACTTATGGACCTGGCAGGGAGAATCTCTCACGGGATTGCCCCTTCCAACGTGGGACCCAGCCGGAGCCCCATGGCCGTGGGACTGGCCGCGACGCATGTTTTGCTGTTCGAATGCTTCGTCCGCTGAGACACCCACCGCAACTCCAGCCGCTGCGCCAACGACTCCGTCTCGCCCGAAACTCGGCTTCTGAGCTCGGGCAGCTCGGGCTTCGCAGCAGACTGCCGGATCAGTAGGTCAAACTGCTGGGAGAATCTCTCTGACTGGATCAAATTCAGATACCATCTGGATGGTCATATCATCTCGTTTTAGACGGTTCTAGATATAGCATGTTTTTGGCCATCAACAGTCAACAAATGTATATACTAAGAGGAGTTGTTCGGAGTTGCCGTTTCTCCAAGCTACCAGCTTGAACTCCGGGCAGGAACAATGACTCACTTAGTCTGCCCAAAAATGAACGGTGATGAAGAGTGTCTGTACCTCTTGAGCGGCCACAAATTCGCGCCACTCAAAAACCACTGACTCAGAGTGGTCCCCAAACACTGCTTACAAAAGGGTACAGGATGGTACAGGCACAAACTAAATTTACCTATACTTGGTGTGATAATCTACTTTGAACATCTGGGGCCACTCTGAGCTGTGTTACTCTTCATCTGAAAGGAGATCCTTGCTTTGTTGCTCCAAGTCCTTCTGCACCAGCTGCAGCAAGTCCTTGAGGTTAGTGGCCGTCTGCATTTGCTCCTTGTTCTCACGGTCCACTTTCTGCCACCTGTCCGGGAGGTCCAACCCTCCGAGCCGAGCAGCATTCATCCGGTAGCGAACCACGCGAAGCCACCAATACAATCGATGTTCAATGTAGAACCGTAAGGTTCCCATGAGAAATGTGATGGAGATCGTTTCTTTCCATCCATCTAGAAACAATTTTCTATCTTTATATAATATATATAATGTCCACCTCTGATTTGTAAGGGGGGGGGCCCCCCCCCCCTGAAACACCTCGAATAGATATAAAGACTGTTTTCAACTGTTTAGTATTGGTAGAGATTTTTCCTTTAGTATAAGAATCTATAAAGGAAAGGAACTGCATCGAGGCTGGATTTGGGATACCTAGGGCCAGGGGTGAAAACATTTAGCTTTATTTGGGGGTAATTTATAAATCTGTTCTGGATTTGCTTAGCTTTATTCAAGGGATATTTACAAATCTGAAGTCGACATTACTCTAGAAACTTAAAACAGGTCCATTTCAAAACAAAAAACAATCAACACAACTTAAAACAACAAACAAAGACGTCCATCCTTTCGGGAAAAACACAAATCCAAAAACTTGTCTTTGAATTGACCGCGAGCCACAGCAAGCGCCCGGCATCCAGGCACAGTTCTTTCAGGGTCTCCTGGTCGAAGCGGTTGGTGAGGATGTCCTCGCGCGCGACCTCCTGGATTCGGCCTTTGAGGACCGGACCCCAAGCACCAAGGAGATGGTGACCGGATGCACTGACCGTTACCGGATGCACTAGCAAACCCGTCACTGGGATAGTCGACTTGGGGTTCGAAACCAGCACCACTCTTGGGGTTCTTAGATGGAAAATTGATCGGTCAGACTCATGAACTGCCCGGGCCTCTTCCAGCGGTAGATTGGTGACCTATGACGACCAGGTGGAGGGAAAAATGAGTCATTGGAAGTTCTGGGAAGGCAGCCGCCTGAAAAGGTTCGCATTGGCCTGGGAAAGAGAATCCTGAACAGAACTGGATGGTTGTGGTCTCCGTCTCCCCACTGTCACCCTTTGTTTGGAGGTGTTCATAGGTCAACTGCATGCCGGATTTGGAGAAGGGTCGGGGTAGAGCGAGACCGAGGGAAACCTCGTCTTCACAAATGATTTATGTTGCTCTGAGAGGGGTAACACCAAGGAAGTAGGACTGAGATTTCTCAACTTAAACAATCTTAAAAGGATATCAAATCCCAACACTCCACGAGGCTGCCATATTTGCCTTAAGGGTCCAATCCGGTCATATATTACATAATATGTTCCATACATGGAGTACAATGGAGTATCTGGGCAACCTGTTGGGCTAGTCCTGACACTCTCGGCCCAGTGTCGGTCATCCATTCGATATCTCCCCGCGACAACGGTTCAGGGATCGACTCATCACGAGGACAGCATGTCGTCTTCCAGTCTGGTCCATGCCTATCACCTCCAGATCCTATCAGGCTCCAATGTGGGTCTCAAACACCACGCGCAACCAGATCTCCACCCTTCGCCGTCGCCATGCCCACGCCTTGCAAGTCGTCCGGCTGGCACATCGCCAGGAACACATCCGCCAGGAGCAGATCGAGCTGCTGCACCCTGCGGTGAAGCAGCGCCGTTTCCTTCTCGAGCTCACCGAGGAAGACATCCATCTGAGCTGTCGGCGGTCTGGGCACTTTGTAGGACTGGCATAACTAAATAAGATTACATATCTGTACCAGGTATATATAAATAGCACCCACCCCAAAAGAACCTACCTTCTAGATCTTCTTTGCAGATTGACAGGTGGCCTTGGACAATACACTTTGTAGTACAGAACGGTTTGTGCAACCCCATTTGCTACAAAATGCAAGGAACCATGCAAAAACACAGTACTAAAAATGACCTATGGATATATGGTGCACTAAACCTTTGTGTATGAAAAAATCACATAGGATTTGGAGCTACTACAACATGTACTGCACAACCTCAAGCATGTCCCTCAGCAAGCACCAAAAATGCTCAGTGGCTCTCTACAAAATGAATTGCCAGAGGTTCAGAGTCGAGCCCTAAAAACGACCACCATCCCTCTACAACATGTTCTGGAGTTCTGGGGTGCAAAGCATCTCACATGTCAAAATGCGATGGACATCCAAACGGTCCATTTCTACCAAAGTGCCACGGTTTTTTTTCTGTTTTGTCGTGGCCACCAGTGGCCACCCAAGGAAGTAGTGGACAGTGGACAGCTGGCAGGAGGATCCTTTTAGACCATCTCACCGGTATGTGCAATGAGAACAGGTGAGATTTCCAGAGGACATATTGAACATGTTGACCGTGCTTGTGGTCTTTGTACGTGCTTGTGGTGACATCTGAGGCTCCTGAGGAACAACATGCGCAGATGTCAACCATAATCAGAAAGTACCGAATGCAATTGCAAATACAAGAACTGATGGACTGATGGATATAACTGATCAAGTGAATTTCAAAATTATAAATCGTGAATTTCATCGTGTACAAGTGCGAAGACCCCCCCAAAAAACACACACACAAAGACAAAACAATTTACATAATTAATCGTGTACATGACAATGAACAACATGACATGAGCACTCCGATTCATACCGTCAGCTGTACCCAGTGCAATGATCATTGATGAGTACAACTTGAGTACAACTGAGATTTTATGAGTTGTTAGTTTGTCTTTTTACACTGTGACATTACATTTAAACAACTCGAACTAGGAATTTAAAGTTATACATGTGTGACAGTCACAATCAGTCACACAAACAAGTATCATTCTACAAATCAATTGTGGAGATAACAAACAAAAACACTGCAACTCGCATTGTTTGCACATATGACATTTGATGCATATAACTGACGATGTGAATTGTAAGCCTTATGAATTCACACTGTAACATTGGGTTTGCACAACTAGAA